AACTATAACTAATAAACCTTTTGCTCGTTTACTGTCTGATGATGTGATGTGTGCCCGACCTCTCTCTCCCTCTCTCTCTCTCTCTCTCTCTCTCTCTCTCTCTCATATCACAGCCACCCATAACAGGCGTGTCATTCAATGTAGTGTTGATAGCATTTATATAAAAACATCTCACTCTCTGACACACAAATAGTCGTTAAATTACATTAAAAAATATATATATAAGTTATAACAAAAAAATCAAACTATTATATGTATCACATGTTTTAACTTAAACAATGTTAATTTTTAGGTACACACTAATTTAAAAATGTAAATTTACATCATTAAATTATCATTAATAGGAATGTTTAAAACATGTTTTAATAGTAAAAATATAATGTTATTCTTAAATAATATTGTAAAATATTATTAAAATTTTCCTTAATGAAATGTACATATTTATATATATTTTGTTTTATATTTCAAATGTTTCTTTGTATTTGATTTAAGAAATAAAAAATATTTAAATGAAAAATTTCAAATCACAAGTGATTTACCGTACATTTTGTTTGCCATAAAATTTAAATAACTACTCATTCCTGCGTTATATTAGCGTAAATATCAAAAGATTTTGTTTTTGTATAAAATTTCTTTACTTTTTATCCATAAAACTCAATCGAAATGAATTGAAAATTCAATTCAAATATGAAATAAGAAATATATTTGCAAATATTTATATTTGTTTTAGAAATACATGCATACCTTCTGTATACCATACATACTGTATGTAATCTGCATAACATATATCGTGTGAGTTATGATTTTTTCATACATTATTTGTTTGGAAATAACAAATGCATTATTGGCTTATCATAGGAGCAGATATCGGGAGCTCCAGTATATGTGTACAGTATATACCTATGGATATGCCTTTCCTCCAACTGATCCCCAAACGAAAATTGATGTTATATCTCACTTAAACCCTAGCCTTACGTCTCACACGTCTTATGCATATTAGGTTTGTATAAAAATTGAAAAATACAAGAATAACAAATTCTCTATCATTCTGTCTATGAATGTAAAAACTAAATAATTTGAAAATAAAATTTTATACGCATTTAAACCGATGAATTTAGTCTCAGCCTTGTTATCAATTTTATATTAACTTTTATGTCGATTAAATGGATTTAATGATTTATTAATTGTTGTTTGCATTAATGTCAGCAAAAACAGGCTTTCAATAAAAAAATAAGCCTATTTTTGAAGTAAATATCATTTAAGTGGGGATGAGTTGAGAGTATGTGATGGGATGCGAGAGTGAAAGTGCATTAAGTATTCACTATAAATATACGGTAAGTCTTATGTATAATTGAAGTGTATATCAGAATATTCTGTATGAAAGTGTGAGACGACTGAGAGAGCAAAAAATCGACATAACTATACACTTGACGAGTGCTTTACGACCAGGTATTAGCATTCATGCATATATGCTCTCTCTCTCTCTCTCTCTCTCTCTCTCTCTCTCTTCAAGAGCTAACTATGCAATGCCTTCGATATCATCCATAAAGAGAGAGAGAGAGAGAGAGAGAAAGCATGAATATTATTCATCACATGTGTATGTTCTCGATGTTAACTATTGGCTGATCAATGTCTCAAACAAGCAGTTGATCCCTTTAAACAGGGAAACAGTAGTCTCTCTCTCTTTTCTATGAACACATCTCATCACTCGCTGACTGTGGGTATGGATGCGATGGCAAAGCTATCTAATACATCACATAGTTAGGTAGTATACTGTACATACATGAGCACATACACACACCTGCACCCTTTCCCAACGCGGTGTTTTATATACGAGTGGTATTTGAACAGTTAGCTCACGAGATGCTATTCTCTCTCTCTCTCTCTCTCTCTCTCTCTCTCTCTCTGCCATTCGTGACATAGTGGCGAACGCAAAGCCCTGTAAAAATGCAAAGCCCTGTATCTATCTATCTATGAATGACTGCCGCACTGGTAGCTCATGCGTGCCATCCTATCATCTCATTGCCATGTATTGGATAGAGTGTGCTCTGGGAGAGGGAGCGCCGGGATGTGCACACATAGAGAGTACAATACTTACCAAAAACTATAACTAATAAACCTTTTGCTCGTTTACTGTCTGATGATGTGATGTGTGCCCGACCTCTCTCTCCCTCTCTCTCTCTCTCTCTCTCTCTTTCTCTCTCTCATCACTGAACGCCAATAAACACTGAATGCAAACGTCACACATAATACACACTAAACAAAAACTTTTTCATCGCTTCTGATCCATAGTTTTCAACCACTGAGTTGTTTGTCTCATCACTTCTCTATCGGCACACATACTCTCATAGCTCTTGAGACACAACTATATAAATAAATTCCGCCGACAAACGGATCGGACAGTCGGTGCCAATGAATCCAACCCTACGGTCCAAGTGTTAGCCAACCGATTGAATACATAATATAGTAATTAGAGTTTGGTTTAGCACATCGTTTACAATATATCAATGTATTAGTGCTCCGTTTAAACCTGTGCTCTAAACGCATTGAGCGCTAATATTTATTCGCAGATAAATCAGTGTATATCGTGTTCACACTCCCGGCCGCACAGCACCGGTACGTCAACACAGGCAACGCTGGATGGGCTAACTTTTCACTGAATTAGTCGGTGTCTATGGAAAAACGTAAGTAATAAAACATTTATTGTTTATTTACAATTAATTAATAATTTATTTCAAAAATAAATTCATCAATATGATCTTACAAGTTAGGCACATAAATCTATAATATATCTCAATACAGGTGATCGTCTATTAGACATACCGTGCCGGGTGTGCGGAGACCGCAGTTCAGGCAAACATTACGGCATATATAGTTGTGACGGTAAGACCAAGTTTTTTTTATATAGTTTGTTATAAGTGTTTGTTCTTAATTAAACAACAGATAATTGATGTTCTGTTTGATATTCTAATAGCTGCGCTACTATTTAATTAATACTTTAATATAGTATATTATCTTATGTTATCTGCAGTATATGAAAGTTATCTACTGTATATACAAAAATATTTTATTAACATTTAAATATTATAGTAGATCAATTGCGTGAAATAAGTGCCATTGATCTGATGAGTGTTTATTTAAGGGTATTTAATATTAAGTATCCAAATATAAAGAAAACTTACCTTTTCTATAATAATTATCATTTATTTAACAGTAATTTTTAAGATATAAGACTACATGTTTTTTTACTAGATGTGTATAATATTTAACATACTGTACAAATTTTGCATCAATAACAAAATTAATTAATTATATTGTGTTAAATAAGTATTTCTAATAAATATTCATAAATATCTTTTTAATCAAAATCCAAATTACCAGGGTGTTCGGGATTTTTTAAGCGAAGCATTCACCGCAACCGTATCTACACGTGCAAAGCACAGGCAGAATTACACGGCAAGTGTCCCGTAGATAAGACACACCGTAACCAATGCCGCGCCTGTAGGCTCAAGAAGTGCTTCGAGGCCTCTATGAATAAAGACGGTAAGTTTGTCATGCATTTTGTTTCATATAACTTATATAGACTATGCATACCATCGCTATACTGTACAGACCAAACAATTTTCATATACTTCTGTGCTTACAATGCATCAGCAACATGGAAATATTAAATTATAAGCTATGTAATAATATTCTAATGCAATTTATTTCCGTACAAATTCTTATTTCAGTTATTTCAATAGCTCTCTCTCTCTCTCTCTCTCTCTCTCTCAGTTTATTAAAGCGAAACCACAACTATTGGCGCAATCGTGGTATTCGTGGACCAAAACCGGTGATAATCTTAGGCGCATTGTGGCAGATATTAAAGAAGCCAATAATTGAAGTAAACAGGGACAATCACAAAAGATATGGCAAAGTGTATGGGTATGGTTTATTTATTATTTAACTATATGTTTGTCACGTTTAAGTCATTTTGAAACTTGATATTTATTCTAAAATTAGCTCTTTTATGGGCACTCGACCAATACTAGTGGTCTCAGACCCGGAGCTCATTAAAGATATGAATATTAAAAACTTTCACCATTTTGTCGATCATATGGACACCAAATCTGGCGATCCTTTAAACGACCGGTCGTTGTTTAATCTGATGGGAGACGAGTGGAAAGCCATGCGATCTGTGGTTAGTATTACATATTGTGATCGTTTGTTAATTTATTAAAAATGATTTTATTTATATGAAGAAGTAATATGTGTTTGAATTGATAGATAAGTCCGACATTTTCATCGGGAAAGATGCGAGCAATGCATCCACTGATCATCGATTGTGTCCATCGATTGGACCAATACTTGGAGACAAAGGCTATAAATGGGGATGAATTGGATGTGAAGCGAGCGATGGGTAACCTAACTATGGATGTGATCGCTTCGTGTGCTTTTGGCACTCAAATAGACACTCATAACGATCACAAAACCAATGAGTTTGTAGCAAATGCTCAGGGCATATTTCATGGTAATTGGCGAATGTTAGCCCAGGTTATATTACTCACATTATTTCCTAAATGGGCGCAAAAACTCAAGTTTTCAATTTTGAGTCCAACTGTACAACACTTTTTCCGGTCAGCCGTAAGTATAACTTTTAATATAAACAATAATTTTTACAAAAATGAATAATTAATTGCAAATAATATCATTAAGTTATATCAATTTTTCTACATTTTAGATCTCATCGATTATCTCTAGACGCAAATCGGAGCGCAATTCAGTTAAACACAGGGATTATCTGCAGCTTATGATTAACGCCCAGAATAGGAGTGCAGACAATAGTGAAGATCAGGACATCGATGACCTCAACGAACACATCTTCGGCAAAACCGATGCTTTGAAATACCAGAAGACGTCAAATGTGGTCATCACTGACGACGATATGTTGGCCACGAGTTTCCTGTTTCTTGTGGCCGGATATGAGACGACCGCCAGTTTATTGTCGTTTGTATTATACGAGTTGTCCGTCAAAGAGAAGTGTCAGCAAAAACTATACGAAGAGATCAATGCCTTCGACGGCAACTATAGCTACGAATCAATCGCTCGAATGCCGTATTTGGAGGCCTGTATTGCAGAAACACTCAGACTGTATCCTCCGGCGCCCAATATTGGCCGGATATGCACACAAGAATATAAACTTGGTAATTACTAATTAGTATTTACACTATTATTATTAGATTAGAGTCTAGGGTGACAAAGTCGCCATCTTTCTCACCTTGGGTAGAGTGTTACAAAGTTTTAATATACATTGGTAATATAATTTAAACATTAAGATAGATAAATTATTTGTATTAATACTTAGTAGCACTCTACTCAAGGTGAGAAAGATGGCGACTTTGTCACCCTAGAGATTAGAGTTATAATTAATATTACTTTTATAATAATTATTATTTATTACAGGCAATACTGGCATAACAATACCAAAGGGACAGTTTGTAATGTTTGATTTCATATCCATTCATCACAGCCCCGAGTATTACCCGAATCCCGAGGTCTGGGATCCCGAGAGGTTTATGCCCTCAAATCGTGATCGATTAGTGTCCGGAACTTATATGCCGTTCGGAACGGGACCCCGAAATTGTGTGGGAATGAGGTTTGCGTTAATGGAGGCCAAGACTGCTGTCGCGCATCTCATCTGCAAATACCGATTCATACGTACGGCTAATACACGATATCCGCCGACATTCAAGAAATACGACTTTATGTTAACCACTGATGATAGAAAAATTGGCGTTGAATTGCGATAATATAACAATTTCTATACATTAATTGTTTTTACATGTGAATAACTTTACACATTAGTGTATTTGATTTTATTTAAAAACTACTGCATATTATAGTCATTTTCAACGTTTTATTGGTTTGTTATATGAATTTCATTCTAGAAAAGCATTCTTAGTCATACAAACTAATGTTAAAACTCTTTTTTGATATTAAACTTAAGCATTGAAAAATGTATTTCACCTTATTGAAAAACATTCATTTTTGTGATTTTTATATCAAATACTATGAATGAGTTTTAACATTAGTTTGTATGACTAAGAATGCTCTTCTAGAATAAAAGTCATTTGTGCTAGGTCATAAGCTGTTTATTTATATTGTAATTAAATGCGCAAATTTTGAATCAATTTATTTATAAATAGATGTTTCACGTTTTTTAGGTTTGAGTACATTTTGTATCCAATTTACAAAATACGATACTTTTGTAAAAATACCCGGATATTCGTTGTCTAATAAATTATCATTATTAATTGTCTGATATTATACAAATCCCTCATACGTACCAGCGCATTTAACACCATATGATACCAGACCAACAAGAGTTCCCCGGCCTATAAATCAAAGCACACAAAATTTATCACATTTAATATACAAATATATTCTGTACATGTAGTTATGTTTAATGTCTTATGTCATACATAAAAATTAATAATAAAAAAATTACCATGATTCCTATACTGAATTGCTGGACCACCAGAATCGCCCTGATATTTAACAAAATATTACAATTTTAAAATAATACTCTCTCTCTCTCTCACACACACACACACTCACACCCACTCACCCGCACACACATACCTGACAGGCATCCTTATTTAAATCAAACGTACAGATTTGCGATCTGAATATCCGATACCCCTTTTGTTTGTACTTTTGGGCACACTTTTCAATGGGATACATATCCAATCGCTCGACCATCAACTCGGTGGGTGTATCGCCATCCAGGTAGTTTAATTTGCCCCAACCGGACACGGTCAAACTATCATTTAGGGGCTCTTCGTATGGGGTGGTAGGCATGCATATGGGTTGAACGGTTGGTTTCATTTTGATAGCTGAATGCACTTTAAACATTGCGATGTCCGAGTCCTGTTGACCTAGCATGTTATATTTTTCGTGAACTTTTATTCTGCTCACTTTGTATGATTCCCCGTTAATACGATTATTGCTGCCCACCTTGATTGAATACGCGCCCGGGTCTTGCGATTCTCTTATGATGCAATTAATATGCAATAAGGTGTAATGTTATTTTTGAATATTTATTATTAATGTGTATAGCTTATAAACACCGAATATCCAATACTATAAATAATAGTAAGATTCATACATGCACAGAATATACAGTGGTTAAAAATAACCATTAAATCAAATAATATACGTAAATTGTACGTGTTCATTGTTCTTTATACAGTAAAAATCAATATTAAATATTAGTAAACATACTGTGTTTTTAAAATTAATATTTAATACTCACTTAAACACGTGGGCAGCTGTTATGAGCCACCACTCGGTCACAATGACGGCGGCCGCCCAGTGCTGGCCGTTGTAATAAATGGCAGCAATCCATGGCTGCGACCCGACGGCCGCCCTTTCGCCGCCCACTATAAAGTCCTCTCTCGCGAGACCGCAATCGGGCGCCGATATAGACCCGGAGTCACCCGTAGACACCCTTATGTCACCCAAATGAAAGTATGGCGCGTAATTTGTAGCACTAACATGGTTATTTTCTACCCCATTATCATTATGGTCAATGTTATGTGAATGATAGTACGATGAGTTTATTGTACGTTTGAGTAATGTGTTTGATGTGGTTATTTTGATGGTGTTAAATGTGATGGCTGAATGGTAGAACCATGGTGATAATTAATTATTAAGGTAATTTTTATAGTATTTATTGTTATAAACTTACTGAATATGAGATAATAGGAGAACAATTTGTTTTTATGTAAACTTTTCATTTCACATTTATGTATCTGTGTAACTAATTATTTTTTGGATACCATATTTGTTTAATTAAATGCATAAAAATATATACAGTATTTGTTGATAACTACTGTAACTTAGATCCACTGAAACACAATTTAATAATTTAATTGTGGTAATAAATTATTTGTCAATAAAATTCATATTTGTTAAAAAAATTAATAATATTAAAATTTTCAATAATTTTAATGAAATTTATTTAAATTAATTTTCAAGATTTTAAAAACTTTTGAATCCAACTCAAATAATAAGACACTTTTGTAAAAACACCAGGATGTTCGTTGTCTGATAAGTGCAATATTAGTTAGTTTTAATCATTATACTAAATTAATCAAGTACTAACCAGCGCATTTCTCGCCATATGATACAATGCCAACAATAATTCCCCTGCCTTACATCGAATATGCAAATTGTTTAATTAATATATATAATAATTTGTATTAAACATAAATTACCTTTTATATATTGAATTGCTGGACCACCAGAATCAGCCTGTTGAAATAGTTTGTAAATACATAATATATTATATTGTACAGATCTGTATATATGCTCTTATTCTCACCTGACACGCATCCTTGTTTAAATTGAACGTGCATAATTGCGATCTTTTTATTATATAGTTGAAATGTTCCCATTTTTGCGCACACTTTTCAATGGGATAGAGATCGAGTTGAATCACTTGCAAATCGACCGGGCTGTTTCGTATATTATCACTAGGATATCCCCAACCGGGCACAGTTACGCTACCGTTCAGAGGCTCTTCGAACGGGGTGGTGGGCAGACACACCGGCTGAGTGATCGGGTTTAGTTCAATGGGCGTACGCACTTTTATCATGGCGATGTCATTTTCAATATCACCCGTAACATTGAACTTCGGGTGGTTATTTATCTCGCTCAATTTGTACCCTTTACCATGATACCGATTATTGCTGCCAACTCTAATTACATAGCCCTCATGTGAATATGGTGTGCTACCATGTATAATAATAACAATAAATAATTATAATTGCTACCGGTATATAAATAAACTTAAATAAAATAATATATAAAAAGCTTTATATACAGCTCGCAAACAAATGGCATCAACTATTAAATTTTAATCTATGTGAAATACGAATAACTAAATATGTAATTACTTAAACACGTGGGCGGCACTAATGAGCCACCACTGGTTGACAATGGCAGCGGACCCTAAGTGGTGGTCGTTGTGATAGACAGCGGCCATCCATGGCTGCGAACCGTCGGCCGCACTCTCGCCGTTCACTATGAAGTCCTCTCTCGCGAGACCGCAGTCGGGACCAGATATAGAGCCGGACCCACCCGTAGACACAGATATTTTACCCAAATGAAAGTATGGCGCGTAGTTTGTAGCACCAGCATTATGATTTTCTACCCCACTTTCATCATGGTCAATGTTATGTAAATGATAATACGATGAGTTTAGTGTACGTTTGAGTAATGTGCTTGATGTGTTTATTTTGATGGTGTTACATGTGATGGCTGAAAGGTAGAACCATGGTGATAAATAATTATTAATGTACTTTTCATGGTATTTATTATTATAAACTTACTGAAAATGAGATAATAAGCGAACGATATAATTTTGTGTAAACTTTTCATTTCACATTTATGTATTTTTTGTAATTAATTTTTTTTGAATACCATATTTGTTTAATTAAATGCATGAAAATATATAATGTACAGTATTTGTTTATAACTACGGTAACTTAGATAGACTGAAACACTAATTTTAATAATTTAATTGTGGTCATAAATTATTTGTCAATAAAATCCATATTTATAGAAAAAATTAACAATATTAAATTTTCAATTATTTTAATTAAATTTATTTAAATTAATTTTTAAGTTTTAAAAACATTTGAATCCAACCTAAAAAATAGGACACTTTTGTAAAAACACCAGGATGTTCGTTATCTTATAAGTGCAATATTAGTTAGTTTAATTAGTTTTTATCAGTATACTTTATATTAATTAAGTACTAACCAGCGCATCCATCGCCATACGATACAATGCCAACAATAGTTCCCTTGCCTAACATTTAATATGCAATATTTTTAATTAAAGTATTTAATAATTTGCATTAAACATAAATTACCTTTTATATATTGAATTGCTGGACCACCAGAATCAGCCTATTAAAATAGTTTGTAAATACATAATATACTGTATTATATCGTATTTTTATAGTGTATATATTGCACAGGCATGCTCTCTTTCTCACCTGGCACGCATCCTTGTTTAGATTGAACGTGCACAATTGTGATCTATATAGTTTCGCACCCTGATGTTTATATTTTTGCGCACACTTTTCAATGGGATAGAGATCAAGTTGAACCACTTGCAAATCGACCGAGCTGATTCGTATTTTATCACCAGGATATCCCCAACCGGGCACAGTTACGCTACCGTTCAGGGGCTCCTCGAAAGGGGTGGTGGGCAGACACACGGGCTGAGTGAGCGGGTTTAGTTCAATGGGTGTACGAACTTTTATCATGGCGATGTCCTGTTCCAAATAACCCGTTTTATTATACTTCGGATGCATGTATATCTCGCTCAGTTTGTACGCCTGTCCATGATACCGATTATTGCTGCCCACTCTGATAACATAGCCATCATGCGGATATGGATTGCTATCATGTATGATTAATATAAACATAGTTAATTAACATTAAAATCGACATGGTGGAATTAATTTATTTAAATAAATCTACTATTCAATTAGTCTATGCTAAATCGAAATAACTAAATTTAATAATTACTCAAATACGTGGGCGGCGGTAATGAGCCACCACTGGTTGACAATAGCAGCGGATCCCATGTGGGTGTCGTCGTGATAGACGACGGCCATCCATGGCTGCGACCCGTCGGCCGCACTCTCGCCGTTCACTATAAAGTCCTCTCTCGCGAGACCGCAGTCGGGACCAGATATAGACACCGACTCACTCGTAGACACAGATATTTTACCCAAATGAAAGTATGGCGCGTAATTTGTAGCACCAGTATGATGATTTTCTGCCTCACTTTCATCATGGTCAATGTTATGTAGATGATAATACGATGAATTTAGTGTACGCTTGAGTAAAGTGTTTGATGTGATTATTTTGATGGTGTTACATGTAATGGCTATTAAATTGTAGCATGGTGATCAATGAATATCAGTGTTAATAAATATCAGTTATTTAATAACTTACTTAAAATTATATAATAAGAAAATAAATAAAATGGTAACGTAAATTTCATTTCACATTTGTTTATTTTGATAATTATAAATTAATTATTTATATACTATATTTGTTTACAGAAAAAATTCTTGTATATTTATTTTTACATGTATTTATTATATTATAACAAGCTCTTTTATAACACAATTTGATAAACTACCTTGTCGATTATTGTTAATAATAAAAAACAATTATTATATAGATTATATGTGTCTATGTTTTTAATTAGATATTATTAAATTTATTTTTATGTTTTCAAGTTTATTTGTATCCAATGTAAAAAATACGACACTTTTGTGAAAACACCTGGATGCTTATTGTCTGATAAGCGAAATATAAATTAATTTAAATAAATTTAAATTATCATAATAAATCATTAAAAATTTCATAAACCAATAATATAATTTTACAAACCGGCGCATTCATAACCATACGACACAATACCTACAATAGTTGCCCTGCCTAACAACAAATATGCAAATTAGTTCATTTTAATTTAAATTATTTGAAATAAATAAATTAATAAAAAAAATTACCCTTCATATATTGAATTGCTGGGCCACCAGAATCAGCCTGATAAGATAGTTATAAAATAAATGTCATACTTATAAACTCTCTCACTCACTCACCAAACACGCATCCTTATTTAAATTGAACGTGCACAATTGCGATCTATATAACTTATAAGTATGTTGCCATTTTTGCGCACACTTTTCAATGGGATAGAGATCGAGTTGAATCACTTGCAAATCGTCCGAGCTGGTTTTAGTTTTAAAATTAGGATATCCCCAACCGGGCACAATTACGCTTCCGTTCAGGGGCTCCTCGAACGGGGTAGTGGGCAGGCACACTGGTTGAGTTGCCGGGTTCATTTCAATTTGCTCCCGCACTTTTATCATGGCAATATCAGTTTCCCATTCAGTGTAAAAATTATAACTTGGGTGCATAATTATCTTGCTCAATTGATACGCTTTTCCATCGTGCCGATTATTGCTGCCCACTTTAATAACATAACCCTCAATGTCGCGGTTTACGTTTCTATCATGTTGAATAAACATTTATAATTTACATGTTAAAATATTAATATAATATTTATATGCAGCTGAACAAAAAGAAATTTACTACTCATTTATAGAATAATAAATACAACTAAAACATAATTATCATCATAGTAAATCATCATTGAAAATTAGGTAGCTTACTGCCTTTTATTAAACATGAATAATTACTTAAATATGTGGGCAGCGGTAATGAGCGACCACTTGTTGACTATAACAGCCGACCCTTTGTGGTGATCGTTGTAGTAAATGGCGGCCATCCATGGCTGCGACCCGTCGGCCGCACTCTCACCGTTCACAATGAACTCTTCTCTTGCGAGACCGCAGTCGGGTCCAGACATAGAGCCGGACCCACCCGTAGACACAGATATTTTACCCAAATGAAAGTATGGCGCGTAATTTATCGTACCATTAGGGTGATTATTTAGCCAATTATTATCGTGGTAATTGTTATATGGTTGATAGTACGATGTGTTTATCATACGCTTGAGTAACGTGTTTGATGTATTAGTTTTGATGGTGTTAAATGTACCGACTGTTAGATTGTAGCATGGTATATGTAAATGTATATAAAATTAGTTATAAAGTAATTTATTTTAGTAATTTAGAATAATTTATAAAACTTACATAAAATTAGATAATAAATAAATAGACTAAAAGTGATTTTAATTTTCATTTCACAACTATGTATTAATTATTTTAAAAACCATATTTGCTAGTAGTTTGCCAGATATTGATTATTATTTTACCTTAATATTTTTAGATTTATTACTAACCATAGACCTTATTTAATTTTCAATAAATCTTACGTTAAATAATTGTCGGTTAATAAGACAAATAAATAATTACCGGGCTTAAGGTATTGCACTCTGAGTAATGTTGCACATTATAATTATAGTTGTTTATTACAAGCAATTTATAACGTTAATTACATAACGCTTACAAAATACTAATTACAGTATTTATAAACATATAAACATATTATAAACAACAAAATTGTTATCATTGTTAGAGATTAGCAGCTTTTTAATATTTATTTGTGATTGAACATGTACAATATGAATTGCACATGAAGTTCATAAATAATTTATTACTTGCAAAGCATTTCACACAAAACAAGCAATAAAACATAAATTCAGGAAATGTTCTTTTATAGAAACAACCGCAAAAATCATTTCAAAAACTTACATACAATGTCGAAAAACACAGAATTTGGTGTTAAATATATCCAAATGAATACATGTCAACAGATATTAATGTACATATTGTTTGCCATTCAATTAGCATCCGTTATATCCGATATAATTACAATTAAAGTAATTCATTACGCAATTAAACGCAACACTATTTCGGGCAACAAAAGGGCCAAACTTTTAATGACAAACATTGCATACTCTGGACTACTAATGACTATCGGTTTTTGTGGCTCAGAGTTTATACTAATGCCGGCATTGATCGGCCCGATCGGCGCCTTATCGCCGGCCCTATCGGCCATACAATCGGTGGCCAACTATTTCAACGCCCTATCACTGTATGTCATATCGATGTCGATAACAGTGTTATCGTGCGATCAATACTATTGTCTCGTAAATGTGTTTAACAATAATAATCCGCTCAACAATTTGTCTGCAAAGAAGTTATTGTCCTGTATTTGGATCTCATGTGCGATATTATCGGTCCCTTTCATTGTGGCCAATGATGTCTATCTAATTGATCACAATAGAGTTGCCATCACTTGTGTCCATAACAGCGGATATTTGGGTGCTTTAAGAAATGACCGCACGTTTAAAGCCGTGTCCACTATTACACGGCTAGTGATCCAGTATTTTATACCTACGATTTTTGTCACCATTTTTACCGTAATAATCATTATTGTATTTATTAAAAACTATTTGAGACGTGAATCACAACTTGAAATGCGGGTAATTTGTCGCCTAATTATGGTTTTTACGTTATTTTTGGTTTCAAACTCGGTATTTCATGTCGAGTCAATTACTATTCTAATTTACAATTTCAACCACCCTGATCAAATACCCTGTTCGTGCTCATGTATACCTGGTGCTTATGTCTACGTTCAACATCATATGTTTTTGGTGTCGACAATGTTTTACCCGATTATATATTTCTGGTTTAGTCAACAATTTCGGCATCATTTCCGGCAATACGTCAAGAGTTTTGCTATTTATTGTCATTTTTGTAAAAATAATAATCAAATTAATTGTTAATCAATGAGAAGACAATTATATCATATTTATATTTAAATAATTAATTATAAAGAATGTTATGATTTTATTTTTAAACAGTGATTTACATTTTTAATTTAGTTTAATCTATTATATTAATCGCCAAAGTAGTACAGCGGCTGTACTTAGTGTAGCCACACGTTCAAATAAATATCTAACATAAATATATCTATAAGTAATTGATTATATTGACAATTGACAGATATTTTACATTATAATTAAATATAATTATATTTAATATAAGGGGCACAACGTATTAACAAATGTTGTAACATTGCATGTGAAAAGGATATGCTTTAAACACACGATAAATGTTTACAAAATCATTTGTTGTTTATTTTTTTGGCAAATTTTATGCAAATATTTTTCACAATTAAAACAA